GGGCTGTCTATGATTCTTCCACACAGGAAAATACTAACAATGCAACGTAGGACTACAGATTGAGAGGCCAGTGGGATTCTGGAAAAATCTAGGAAGCTGGTAAATACACAGAGTGTAAGGCTCCTAAAGCAATTAGGAATGTAGGAATTGAGGCTTTGATGAAAAGAAGAGCTTATTAATTAAGCTAAGCAAATTTCAAGCCAGACATTTGCTGGAATCCAGACCTGCACAGGGCAGTGGGCTATGAAGCTAGGGGGAGGGTCTGGACATGCCAGAAATGGAATTCAGTTTGCAGCAATCTTGTGGTCCTGCATGGACAACTGAGGTTCAATGCATGCCAACTCAAAGTTGGGACCTCACCAAAACTACAATTTAGGAATGAAGGTAAAATGGAGGAAGACAAAGCAGCATTAAGAAAAATGTAATGAGCTTTTAAGCCCGCTCAGTCCCTAAACTAAGAAGATAATCACCCTGACTTCTCTCTGTAGGAAAGCAACATTGTCTAGAGCCTGTGCAATTTTCCATAAACCATGTTACTATCCAATCACTACAAACTAGTCACAAAAGGTAGATGTCTCATCTACTAGAATGAATAGACTGGAACTTTAAAATTATTGTAGTATATATGTTGAGAAAAATAAGTAAAATGAATTTTACCACTGAACTAGAAATAACAAATATAAATGTATGGAAATTATAAAATGAAAAAACTGTAAAATTTGGAATAAAGAACACAGCAATAAACATGCTTGATACAGTCAAAGAGAAAATTCATGAGCTGGGAAATGTTAATAGAAATGTCTGGGCAGAATCACAGGAATCTAAAAGGGAAAATGCAAAAAAAAAAATAGTGTGCATCATCAGATGGAAATACACAACACAAATGTTATGGGGTGATCACAAATGGGAAAGGGGATAAAATGAAGCAGACACAATAATTAAACAATGGCCACTGGAATTGATAAAGGCAGCACTTACATGGAGAATTGAGCAGGTGCCTAACTAGAAGTTCCATCCATACTGACTAGCATTCACGGTAAAGGAAAAACTCTGCAGGCTACCGTAAGAGAAAGGTAATTATCAATGTCATCTATCTACAAACCCTGCCACCTACAACAGCGACCTGCCGACAAAATGTACTGCCTGGTGCAATAGAGGCGTAAACGTTATGGGAGTAACCAACAACTCTCTGATTGGATTTAAAGCCCTCTCCACAAGACAGAGTCCATCCCGGACACTGCAAATGAACTGGTGAAAAGCATCCAAATTAACCTTAAAGGATTTGGGAGATCAAGTTTTCCAACAATTGAAAGAGGGTTTAACCAAGAAACATTGCCTAATCTTAGTAGAAGCAGTAAGATTTATGTTGATTTGAATTTCCTAGCCTCAAGTTTTCTCCCAAATTCTTCAATAGCTTCAAAGGCAAACAACCTCTCAGTCACTGTGAAAGACTGCACGCTGACAGCCATGGATAGCAACAGATGAGTCCAGAGCTTTCCCAGCCACCAAACTTGCTGCATTTTCTGGCATGGTTTGGCAATTTCCAACAGACTGGATTAGTCTTTGTTTGTTTGTTTGTTTACTCATTTATTGTGAACATTTTTTCCACAATGAATTTGTCAAAAGGTTAAACAAGATAATTGCTTAACATTGCCTGCAATAGCAACAAGAAATGAGGTAAATAAGGACCATCAAGCCAAAACTGTCCCTGAAGAAACCTTCATGTTGGGCATACATTTTAAACTGTCATCTTAAAAGCCAGTCCAGAGCAATACAACCATTATGGGAATCAGTTTGCTGGAGTCTCAAAATATCCCACCCCTGGGCATATATCAATAGCATTCCATGGATATTTGTGTTGTGCATCGTTATTTATTCCTGCTCTATTTACCATATCATACGTAACCAATCTAAATGTGTGTGTGTGTGTGTGTGTGTGTGTGTGTGTGTGTGTGTGTACATATATGAATACAGAACACTATTCAACTCTCAAGAAAATTTAAATAACCCTGGCATGGTGCCACACACCTTTAATCCCAGCATGTGGAGGCAGAGGCAGGAGGATCTCTGAGTTCCAGGCCAGGCTGGTCTACAGAGCAAGCTTCAGGACAGCCAGGGCTACACAGAGAAACCCTGTGTTGGAAAAAAGAAAAGAAAAAGAATGGAAGAGAAAAATGAAATAACAAAATTAGTGAGAAAATGGATGGAAATATAGCATATATAACATTAAGCTACGATACCCAATTCATAATGAAAATACATGCTTGCTCTACCTCATATGTAGATCATAGCTTAAAATAAATACATGTATATGTATATACATAAATATGGGAATAGTATAGCATTTAAAAAGGGTGCCAAGAAAGGGCACTATTGAGTGAGGACAAAAGACAGAAAACAGGTAAAAAGAAAGATATGTAAGTCGTGAAAAAGGGAATAAAACTAATCCTTTTTCTAGTTTCAACTCTGTCAATGCTTTTTTTTTCCTTTTTGTGGTAAATAAGTGCCCCAAAGTGTAATTGATAGTGAAAGTGTAAAACTGTAAGCAAAGTTCCATGGTTTCAGAAAGACTAGTCTAAGAAGATAGAAGTTAGTCTAGCTGTGTGATGTTTTAATTTGTGAATTATTTCCAATAAAGTCATTTTTATTAAAAATTAGACAATTGAAATCTTCCAAAAATTAAACCAAATCATACCTGAAGAACTAGAGGAGGGTTGGGCAGTGGTGGCACACACCTTTAATTCCAGCACTCAAGACAAAGGCAGGCAGATCTCTGAGTTTGAGGTCAGCCTGGTCTACAGAGTGCGCTCCAGGACAGCCAGGCTACACAGAGAGACCCTGTCTTGTAAAACAAAAACAAAACAAACAAAAAACAAAAACAAACCGACAAAAAAGAACTAGCGGGCCAGGCGTTGGTGGCACATGGCTTTAATCCCAGCACTCGGGAGGCAGAGGCAGGCGGATCTCTGTGAGTTGGAGGCCAGCCTGGTCTACAGAGTGAGTTCCAGGATAGGCTCCAAAGCTACAGAGAGAAACCCTGTCTTGAAAAAAAAATAAAATAAAATAAAACAAAACAAAAAGAACTAGAGGGAAGGATGAGAATGGTGTGACGTGACGTCAGAAAGGAGCATCAGTCAACATCACCGTAGGCACAGTGGGGTGTGAGGAGGAGGAGGAGGAGGAGGAGGAGGAGGAGGTGGAGGAGGAGGAGGTGTGGACAGAAAGAATAAGGACATTGAGGAAATAATGGCATCAGACTTCCCAAAGTTCATTGACACATCCAAGAAACACAGGTAAGATAGAGACAGCTACAGGCAGACACAGAGACTGGTGAAGCCAGAGGGAGATAACTCCTCACACACAAGAGATTCTCAAAGTTATTTAATGCTAATTTCTCAGTGGAAACCATGAAAGCCAGAATTCATGAGGTGAGGAATTCAAAGCCCCGAAAAGATAAATCCGAGCAGAATTCACTACTAACAGATCCACTTTTTTTTTTAAAAATCCTCAGTTTTTTAGGCTGTAATGAAAGGACGAAAAACAAGAACTCAAATCACATGGAGAAATAAACGGCATTGTCAAAAATAATTGTATCAATAGTATTATAATGCTAAGTCTCTCTGAAACTCAGCTAGTAGAATCTTCAGTACACTTCAGAATGTGACCATATTTGGAGAAAGGAATTTTAAAGAGGTAATTAAGTCAGAGAAAATGACATACATAACAAATCCTAACATCAGAAAGATATTAAATTTAATGAATTAAACATTTTCATCAAAAGGAAAACATTTCCAGGCTGCATTTCATTTTTAAAAGTGCCTGATCCAACTATATATATTTACTACTCTACAAGAGTTGTACTCTGGATTAGAAGTCACAAATAAACTGAAAAGGATGTGGAAAGATACATTACAAACAGTACAGGGAGGAGAGAGAGAAAGACAGCAATTCTGACCAGCACACTGGATGACTATACTAACATCTGACAAATTAGACCTTTGTTTCTTTGCTCTTCCTGTAAGAAAGCACCCTGACAAAACAATGTCAGGGAGAAAGAGCTGATTCAGGGTCATAGTTTGAGATTTAATCTGCCATGGAGGGGAAAACACGGCTGCAGGAGCTTAAAGTTGTGGACACAATGAATCCACAGTCAGGCAGCAGGATTTAAAACTGTGGTGTCACTGCACACACAGTCAGGCAGCAGGATTTAGAGCTGTGGTGTCACTGCACACACAGTCAGGCAGCAGGACTCAGAGCTGTGGTGTCACTGCACACACAGTCAGGCAGCAGGACTCAGAGCTGTGGTGTCACTGCACACAGTCAGGCAGCAGGATTCAGAGCTGTGGTGCCACTGCACACACAGTCAGGCAGCAGGACTCAGAGCTGTGGTGTCACTGCACACACAGTCAGGCAGCAGGACTCAGAGCTGTGGTGTCACTGCACACACAGTCAAGAAATAGTCAAAGCAGTGAATGCTTCCTAGTGCCTGGCACACTCTCTGTGTAAATTCTGAATTGTGTACAACCCAGCATCTTCTGCTCAGGTAATGGTTCCACCCACAGTCAAGACAATCCCCCACAGACATGCCCAGAGGCCTATCTCCCAGATGATTCTAGAGTCTGTCAAGGCGACAGTTAACATGGATCATCACCAACCTACCAAACTTAAAGCCAAATTTTTATTAGAGAGAAAGATAAAATGATAAGTTAGTTGGTCCGTCTGGAGGTCATAACAATAATGAGCATATCTGCATATGTCCTTAATAGGAGGACAATAAGACAATAGGAAAATGAGGAAAATAGACAGTTGCACCACACTACTCAGGGTCTTTAACAGTGGACTTTCATGCATAACAGCCAGAGGATAGGTCAACTAGAGAAAGAAGTCAGCCGTGAACTAAACTGACCTAGCAAACATCTACAGAACTTTCCACAAACAGAATAATAATGCTCTCCTCAAGTGAACACAAGAGTCTCCAGAAAAGACCATGTTTTAAAACCTCAACATATGCTCTTTCTCTTCAACGAGGTGGCCGAGCGGCAGATGCTAACATGCAGATCTTTGTGAAGACCCTGACGGGCAAGACCATCACTCTTGAGGTCGAGCCCAGTCACACCATCGAGAATGTCAAGGCCAAGATCCAAGATAAGGAAGGCATTCCACCTGACCAACAGAGACTGATATTTGCCGGCAAGCAGCTGGAGGATGGCCCCACCCTGTCAGACTACAACATCCAGAAAGAGTCCACCTTGCACCTGGTGCTTCACCTTCGTGGTGGCATCATCGAGCCATCCTTTCGTCAGCTTGCCCAGAAGTACAACTGTGACAAGATGATCTGCCTCAAGTGCTACACTCGCCTGCACCCCCGTGCGGTCAACTGTCACAAGAAGTGTGGCCACACCAACAACCTGCGCCCCAAGAAGAAGGTAAAATAAAGCTTTGGCCATACCAGGCCCGTGACCCTGGGACCAAATAAAGTCCTCTTCCATCGACTGGAGCAGAAAAAAAAAAAAAAAACAAAAAAAAAACAAAAAAAACAAAAAACTCAACATACAAAATATAACCTCAAATTACAATAGATTGAAGTTAAAAACCAGAGACAAAAGGATATTTGGGACTTCTACAGATAGGTGAAAGTTAAACACAGTTTCAAATAACTAATGAGTCAAAGAAGAAACAAGAACATTAATTATACAATATTCAAGTGGAAGCAAAAAATATCAAAAGTCAATGAAAAGAAGCTAAAGCAAAGCTAGTTCCGAGTGAATCAATGTCTGTAGTTTAGAAAGACTAAGAACTTCGAATCAGTAGCCTAACTTTAGACTTCAAGCAGCTGGGGAAAAAAGAGGGGAGAAAAACCTAAATGCAAAGGAAACAAAAAGAAGAAAGTAGGGCTGTAGAGATAGTTCAGCCGTTAAAGGCTACGCTCACAACCAAGAAGAAAGTAGTCATAATTAAAGATATATTGATATAGATACATACACATATAATACTATTTAGTGTGTATAGGAAATCAATGGAAATTGGCTTTTTGACATCACCACTGAAACTGGCAAACCTTTAGCTAAACAGAATATGAGAAAAGGAGACTCGGATCATCACTAAAGCAAGGAGTGCAAGAGAGGACCTTGCTATCCTACGGCTCCTCTGCAAATAAGGACATAAGGGAATCCTGGAAGCACTACATACAACAAATTAAATGATCTAGTTTACTACAACAGGTGCCTGAATATAAAAATCTACCAAAATTGATTCAAAAAGAAGTAAAACAACCAAATGGACTTAGAACAATTAAAGAAATTTAGTCAGTGGGGGAAATGTTCTACAAGGAAAGGCCAAGCACTAGTTGGCTTCACTGGTGAATTCTACCCAATATAATAATAATAATAATAATAATAATAATAATAATAATAATAATAATAATGATAATGATAATAATGTCTTTAAAACAAAACATTCCAAAAGAGAGAGACTTAGGAGGGAACATTTCCCACCTTGTTCTGTGAGGCCAGTATTATGCTTTTACCCAAACCAAAGAAAGACACACTAAAATAAAACCAACCTCCTCATAATGACCAGCAAACCCAAGCTAACAAAACCTACACCACGAGTTAGTGGACTTTACTCAAGAATGCAAGACTGGTAAAATGAAGCCATACAATAGGACATATTAAGAGAATAAACGACAATATCCGGAAGAGCTGCTCAAGTAGCACAGACACAGTATTTGGCAAAATCTCAGTGTCCCATTAAAAACACTCAATGAATTCAACACAGCACAGGACCGGCACTGGCGTTATAACAAGGCTGATAAAAACTGAAGCTGGATCCTTTCACTGAGAAAATTTAAAAGGCAGCAGGCCTCACACAAACATGTGAGGTCTTAGTGTGGATTTTATTCTGAACATGGGAGGGGCTATTGGAGAAAACATTAAAGGATTAGAGGGTTGTGATTGATGCCATCCATTTTTGTAAATGTGTTCCAGGTGCTGCAAGATTCTGTTAGGACCCACATGGATTGAAGCTGAGGGGCAAGGAATTCCGCTACAGACCTAAGGTTTGCGGGTAAAGATTCAGACATCCTGACAATATCTGGGAGCTGAAGCGTGTAATCAGTGAAAAGAAGGCAGCCTCAGAGAAAGTACAGGAATGCTCACACTTTTAGCATCTAGGTAGACAAGGAATCCACAGTGTAGAGTAGGAAGCATTACAAAGACAAAGGGGAGGAAACTGGAATATTTGGGTCTGGTGGTCTCCAAGAAGATTACCTCAGGAAGGAAATGATGATGGAATGACTGTCTGTATTGAACGTTGTCAGGATGGTGAGCCTGAGAGACAATTAGCATTTGAAATACAGAAGTTGTTTGAAATATTGACCAGGGAAAAGACAAAGACATCATAGCACCAGACAAGTAACTGAAGCAGAACAAGAAAGAATGTGAACTGAAAAAGCAATAGGAACAGTATGTTGATGTGTTCAGGGTGCCATTCATGTACATGCTGGGTGACTTAAACAACTGGAATGTTATTGTCTCATCGTTCCTCCGGAAGCTAGAAACCCAAGCTCAAGGTAGCATCGGAGTTGGCTTTCTTTCCTGGATTGTAGATGGCTGTCATCTTGCTGTATACTCACATAGTTTTTTGTTCTACGTGTGATGCCATGCAGGAATCCAGGTACTGAACCTGGGGCCTTGCAAGAGTTAGAAAAGCAGTGTACCACTGACTTACTGACCAGTCCTCTTCTTTTCATTTAAAGGACTCCAGTCCTATCAGATTGAGACCTCCACTCTTGTAACATTACTTAACCCTAAATACCTCCCTACATATCCTAGAGACCAGTCTCCATACACAGTCACCGTGGTGGGGGGTTTAGGATTTCAATAAATGTAGTTGTGATAGGAGAGAAAATTGAGTCTGTATATTAGCTACTTATGTGGCACTGTGGCAACAATACATGACCCAAACAGCTTAAGGAAGGAAAAATTTTATTTTGACTCCCAGCTCCAGAGGGTTTCAGTCATTGTGATGGGGGAAGTTATGACTAAGCTTTTCCCATCCTGGTGGCTGGAGTTTATGATGGAAACTGTTTATATATCACTGTGGATCTACAGGCAGAGCAAATACAACAGAAATCAAGGCCAAGATTTTCTTGTCTATAGAGAAATGCAAATAATGCGATGGAGTCAGAGCCAGTTTGAAAAACAGATGGTTTATTAGGAAAGTACTCATGAGACGGAGCCAGTCCTACACAACGAGGCTGGTGAGGGGACAGAGAGAGCCGCATGCATGCCACCCTCATATTTAAGGCCTTGCTACATCACCTGACCACACCCAAGTGGGCGTGGTCGGCGTCACCTGTGCCAGCCCCCAAGTGGGCGTGGCCAGCATTTCCCCCTACAACAGTCGAAGCCCAAGTCTAGGGACTACTTCTATCAGCTGTGCCCCCATCTCCTGAAGATTTCACAGCCTCCAAAAACAGTACCCTCAGGGGATGAGCGTTCCTAACACGAGCCTGTGGGGGAACATTTCATAGTGAAACCACAACAGTCCAGAGTAGCTGGACACTCTCCTTTAAAAGACAAGTTCTGTGTAAAAGGGAGAAAATTAGATAGCAAAAAAGGTGTGGATGCAAGAGGGGGCGAGTGGAGAAATGAGCTTCCTGGAAAGGCACTGGGCTACGGGGGAGGCCTTTGGGGAGTTTGCCTTTGACCTGGATCAAGACACATCTTCCATAGTAATAAGAAGGGAGACAGGAAGGAAGAGCAATGCTTCAGGCTGGCCGTTTTCTTAGGGAAAATGGGTTGGTTCCTGACTAACAGCCCTACTTTCCTGGTAACTAGAAGACAAAGTTACAATGAGCTGCACACATGACTCAGAGGCTGGGTATATGAAAGCTTCAGGGAGATGTCAAATAGTTATTTGGGAATTATGCTGATAAAATGCTGTGAAAGTGTATTAGGATTTTGGGCATGCTGAGTGCTCACATAAGGTTTATGTGTGTAGAACTTTAAAAGGGACCCAAGGCACACCGTGGCACAATTTTTTTCTTTGGCTGTTTCATCTGTTCAGATGTAGCCACAGGGTAAGTAGTCAAGTAGGTTTGACCCATGTTGTGACCTAAATCTAGCAAAGAAACACAGATGAAGAATAAAGATACTGATAAGAGCAAGCATAGTGAAATATCAACTTTTCAAAATTTGTTTCTCTGGGTCCCTGAGTGGGTAAAGGGGCATGCCACCAAGCCTTACAATCTGAGTTCAGTGCCTGGATCCACATGATTGAGGGAGAGAACTGACTTCTGAAAATTGTCCTCTGACTTTTACACACGTGTGTGTGAAACGTACCCAAAGTAAGTAAACTAATGTAATAGAAAAGTTTAGTTTACTGGTGATCTGGAGAGATGGCTCAGGAGATAAAGTATTTGGTGCCCAAGCATGAAGATATGTGTTATGATCCCCGGGACCCAGGTTAAAACCCAGGCATGACAGTGCATGCCTATAACCCCACATGGTGGGGAGGCAGAGATGAGGATCTCAGGGACTTGACGCAGCCACTGAGACAATTAGTGAGGTCCACATGCAATGAAAGATAACATCTCAACAATAAAGTGGTTCCACGTTCTCTCCTGTATGTGGACTTTGCTTTGGATCTTTAGATTTGTTTGCTTACCTTGGAATACCCATGGGAGCCAGCAAACTAGGAAATGGCCACTTTGAGTGAAAAAAACTTGAGCTTAAGAGAGAGCGAGCTAGTAGACACAGTTGGCAGGGGGAAAGAAGAATAAAGGGAGGACAAGGCTTAAATGGGGAGGATGAGAGGGTAAAACAGAGGGATGGAGGAGGGGAAGGATAACTGGAAAAATCCTATGGAAAGCCACTACTTATAAGTTTTAAGCATATATATGTATGTGCTGGTCCTTACGAGAGTGTCTTTCGTGTCTCATAGTTTGCCTATGACAATTACGTCTTCTGTATCTAAGTAGCTGAAGGGTTTCATGCACCTAGATGGTTCCAGCTCTCTGGGAGGCTGTGGCTGGAGGATGGCTTGAGCCCAGGAGTTTAGAACTGTGAGGTTTATCATATTAGTGTTCCTGTCGCCCCAAATCTATTCCATATACATTGTAAAATAACCTTACACTTTCAGTTGCAAAAGGAAATTCCTTAAGATAAGAAAAAATAAGTAAAGAAGTTAATTTTTATCATGTGTCTGAGGTACAGGGTATATCCACTGGAGTGCTGTGCCAAGGAGGCCAGAGTCGTTTGGTCTCCTGGAATTGGAGTCAGACTGTTGTGAGCTGAGAACCAAACACATATTCTTTTCAAAGTCAGTATGTGCTCTTAGCCATGGAGCCATTTCTCTAGCCCCTATAATTTTTACTTAACTTTTAAGTTTTCCTTAATCTTTAAACCTGTTGTAAATCAATATGTTTAAGTTTTTCCTATGTATTATA